GGGGCGTTATAATGTGACGGTCAATCCCACTATTCGTTGGTAAAAGAGTTGCCCAAGAGTTGGCGGTGGGTGGTGATGGCTACATCATTCAGAAACACTTATTGTTAAGTTAGAATCACATCAACAGTTTCACACTATATTACTAGAAAATCTCTGTGCACTACACGAACATTACAAGATCAGAGTTTGAACTTTCAATGACATGTAGGATAGATTATTATGCATAAGACCATATATTAAAACTTGCTAGGAACATCTTTAGGTCCAGTGAATGGAGAATGGTAGATCTCAACACTCCACTTTGTCGTGACAAATTATTGGTTAAAATAGTTCTCATAGATATGGAGAATAAGGATATCATCATTAAGGTCATGAAAACAATAAACTATGAGATCTGTGTCAATCCTGGATTAACATTGGAAAACATTGATGAATTAGTAGCTCATTAGCACCAAAGGAAATAATAAGTAGTCACTTTAAAACTAATATGTAGGAAATATGATGTGAAATATTCACGTAGGCAAAGTTATTATCTCATTAATTTCTTTGTTCAAGAGACTTCACAATACAGGGAGGAGGTAGTGTTATAGCATTTATGTTTAATCTAGAAGTTTCTTTGAACTGCATTTTATTTAGCCAGCACAATTCATGTAGTTCAGTAGTATGAATATTTAGTTTGTCTTCATGAAGATACAGAATTATAAAGTACATGGACTTTATGATTAGATGTAGTTTATTTGTAAAATCAGGGCTATCAATGAACATTGGCTACGCTGACAGTATAGCTATATGTTCTAAAAATGAGAGTTTTGTTAAGTGGACTGGAATTTGCATTATTTATTTTACTAAATTAATACTAACTTCTAATCAAAGCAAGCTACATACATAGATCAGAACAGAAATACCTCCAGTAATTAGCATAACCAATAAAATAAACTGTTCAAACTATTTTACTTATAATGATTAGAATGCATTGTTGGGTATCCTCGCTATTGACAATCTTTTCCGCGGCAAACCCAATATATCTCAAGAGTTTGGCCAGCCCAGTGTATATCGGTTACTCATAAATCCATATACTAAGCTAACAATGACAAACAATCTCTATAATAAAAATATAATAATGAAAATGTTAAATTAATTAGTCAAAATGTTTGAAACTTTCTAATCAACACTGTTAATTAAAGAAATAACACAGTATATCTTCCTTACAAAACATTCACAAACACTAGATGTTAGCTTCAATATTTAATGCTCGTTAGTCATAAAACCATAAATTAAGCTATCAAAGCTGAATAATCATTATAATAAAATAATACTAAAAACAAGCAGCTCAACACTATAAACTTTTAAAATACTTCCTTAAATTCCTGTCTCTCTCTTCTTGGTCTTCATTCTAGTTTCATCATCCACTTTAAATTTGCAATCTCCCTTTGAGCGACCCCCCCCCCCAGTGACTCAGTGGTAAACATGAGGGCTTATAATGCTAAAAATTGTCGTTTTATACCCACAGTGGGTAAAGCACAGAAAGCTCATTGTATTGTGTAATTTGTTTTTACTAACAAAACAAACAAACCCTTCGAGCAAGTGTCATTACCTTGAAGAACATTTTCCAGAAGATTTTCTGCTCCACATCTGACTACTTTTTCGCACTCTTTACCAACATGAAATACAGATAATTCTAGAATATTGTTTGGGTATACTACAGCAGGGAAAACTACTGTGAAAGTTATATTCCCTAAATCTGTTAGTGAACGCATATTTTACAATGTTAAAATTGAATTATCATGCTTTCTCTTGATAAACGAGTTTACTTGATGTGGGGAGATGCTGGAAAAGTAAAGAGTGTGGAAAAATTCAGGAGATATAATATATATTGGAAAGAAACAAAATAATGCTCATGATGTGAAAGGATGAAAGTTTATAGAAATCGATAATTCGTATGTTTATTAAACACAGATCAAAACAGAGAATGATGCCAATTACTTTATTAACTTTTGTTCATATACATATACAAAAGAGTATTATATATGGATATATGCAGAGGCTCTTTATGTATCATCCTGCTTAAACAGCAGCAACACAGCTGCTTTCTATCGAATCCGCCACTTGGAGTGCTGTAATTACACACCATCGTTCATTGGAATGCATAATTTCACAAATAATATTCATCTAACAAAAATTCCAATTATGTAGATGTATATTTCCATATCTCTATCGAAACAAAACTCAGTACGAAAGCAATGAATTAACTGGTTGATTAAATCATGCACTGATTACTCAATTACTCTTATTACAATTATTTATAAGCGGAACTCGCTTATTTATTCACCTAATTGTATTTTCGTTTTAGTTGTGAAGTGATTATTGTTAGCAAACATGTTTCACACCCAAGTGTCATAGTTAAAAGAAAATTACAACAACGCAAGCACCTAATATTTTGTTTTAAGATTCCAAAATTACCGCATACCAAATGGTAAAATATGCACTTGGTATTGTTCATGTTCTTTAACAAACAAGAATTATTCTAAAGAGCCTAAAGACGTAAATGAATAACATATAAAATATGTTATTCAGTTTGAAAAACTTATTCTAAATATCCAAGAAATTAAAAAGAGAAAAAGACGTGAAACTCCAACTAAGAAAAGATAACCTTTGATTTTAAATAATCTTATGATTACTTTTTGCTCTGTAAAAGTTTGAGCATATTCTAACTGATATTTGTAACAGATTGTGATATACGTTGTATGCCTTACCCCTAAAAACAGCCTTTGAGTAGAGCCACACTTGAACATCTCCACCCAGTCGGCTGTTGTCACGTCTATTGGATATGTTATAAGGTGTATTTCATACGTAACCGTCGTCATGGCTGCCAGCTGAATGTGACTTAACTGAAAAGAACACAATTTTGAGATTATATTTTCTTAACAGAAGAACGTGATATAAAAGTAGTACTCACAAACACGCACACACAAATATATGTATATATGAGTAGAAGGAAAGTGAATTAATGCATCTTTGTGATGGTTTATTTTACAATATCTTAAAAAGTTATTCAAGTAATTTATTCAAAGATGCATTAATTCACTTTCCTTCTACTCTAGTAGCTCAAGATTTGGTGGTGGATGATGTTGGCTAGTTGCATTCCCTCTAGTTTATCACCACAAAATTTGGACAAATAGCGCAGCTATCCCTCGAGTAGCTTTGCGCGAAATTCAACGAAAACCAAAACTACCTCCAGTAATTTATCGAGAAAACAATTAAATGTTAAATTAAAATGTTGAAAAAGCACTCAGTAACAGAAACAGGATGATACCAGCCTCTTTCCGGGGATGTAGCAGAGGTGGTATAGACAAAAAATAAAATAAAAATGATGGGTCTGCAGTCTACATCTTATGAGCACACATAATGTAGTATATAGGAAGTGAGCCAACTTTAACAGTAAGTATTGGTATTTCAGTGCAGGCGGTTCATTGTAAGTTTAGGCACATTTGGAATAGTTTCAGCGCATGTCGCTCATGAACAGAACATGCGCCAAATATTATACATGGACCTTTGTTGTAAAAATTGTCAACGTCATAAATTTGCACTTTTGAAACTTAAATCTATGAGTTAATACTTTATAATGAATGACCATGAGTACAATTAAGGAGATTCGTGACATTGAATAAATCATTCTTAATATTATTTTTTAATTAATATTTTCCTTCGACGAAAGAAAGAAAGAAAAATCTTTATACATAAACAATAATAAACTAAGTTATCATTCGTGACTTTTTGCAGAAAGACTTAGTGTCCATCATACATAAAATTTCAATTCTAATTAGAAACTTTTACCCATAAGTGTTGAAGCCTTTGACGGATTTTAACAGTTTTATAAACTAAAGATAACAACTGATAAATGTTTTATCAGAAAAAATATAGGTTTTCATGGCGATCAGCCAGTTTCATTACCTTTTTCATTACCAATAGGTTAACATCTTCGCTGACCATGATAACGAAATGCAAAGGGCTGTGACTCATTGCCACAGCAGATTTCATCATGATGATGGCCTCTTCTATTCTTCTCGAACCACAGATGGTCGTCGATAGTACGATTGGTTTTACAACATGTGTAGAGAAATTCCAACTAAGTAAAACACTTAATAAATTTCAGTCATCATAACATATTCTAGTGTAGAGAAAATTAAGAAAGCTACGAAAAAAATCGAAACACAGTAAGATATGATACAATACAATAAGGTATAACTTTTAAGAATACACTATATGCTTATTTAGGTATATTCAGGTAATTTTTCAAAATTTTTGTACAGGTGATTTGTATGTTTTGCTCATTAAGGCTTATGCTTCTTGGCCATATTTCTATATCATGCCCTCCAGAAGTGAAACTATACTCATTCCAAGGAATGGTGCAGAGACTTGTACAAACTGGTATGAGATGGAATTTATATCTCTTGAATATGTGTAATGGCAATGATAATTGACATAGCTAATCTTAGGCCTGTGGGACTTGATAGCTTCACTATTCTTGATCTGGCAATTGTTCTGTGTGTAAGTATTAATCCTGATTTGTTCTTGTCCAGTGTGGATATGTTTTGCTTTGACCCGTCTCTCTGCTCTAGCAACCAGTTAGAATTCAATTCTGAACTACAAGCGAGCCAGTTTACAAAATATTCACTTTTTTGTATCAAGAATGATATCATTCTAATCGAAAATTTGTGTATATTTGTTATTTAGTTGTTCTTTGTGTTTGAAATCCATCTCTGTATAATATTTACTGAAACTTTATTTTGCAAATACTAGATACTTTTTGGAAGATAACATAACGCTTGCTAACTGTTTTAATCTGGCAATTAAGCATTCTAATATTATTATAAGCTATGCTTTAATACTGTATTTTTTATTTATTAGAGGGAGCTGCGGGTGAAATGATTAATTTGAGGTCGAAAAATATAATAAAATAGGTCTATAACACCAGAAAGCTCTAAAACATTTTGATGTTAAATTTTCTATTAAATTCGAGAGTAAATTATAAACACAAAGTGCAGTGAAGCATTGAAAACAAGGTTTGAGAAGACAGTAGAATTGATTCAAGCCAGTAGAATGAATCAGACAGTGTTTTTTCGTTTCAGTGGAGAAATTATACAAGCAAGTTTATTATTTAGCTTAGGATAGTGCAGTTGGCATCATCTGTAAACATGATCTACAAGTTCCACAATGTTGAAGCTTCTAAAAACGTTAAGGAAGAAATAGACTAATTTGTTATCATTTGCGTGGACTGGATATGGAATTATTTTCACAAGATAATTTTATAGAGCCCACAACACGAGAACAACGTTACAATATTGGTGTCAGAAGTGGGTTAATTTTGGTGGATATAAAATGGAACTTTGACTAAAAGAAACAGGCGTACTATTCAAAGAATAATTAGAATCGAAAATGAATCTGATATAAGGAGCCAATACGAATACACAGAGAGATTATAACAACAATCTTAAACAAATGAAAGTTCATAGCAGCTTCAAAGACAAAATTCAAGTACAGCAAAACTATACTGACAAAATTAACAAAGTCAAAAGTGAAATAAAGAAAGACATTAACGATATAGAAAAGAGCATCATTGAGGTAGACAAAAACGTCAGTGACAGAATAAAACATTTGTAAAATGAATTATTAAATGTAAAACTAAACCAGCCCTCCTCTTTCTGCATTAGTTCAGGAGTTCCAGTTTCATATGCCATCTGATGCGAAATATGGAATAGGAGCACTTATTTAGCTAAACCTATTCCCACCACTGCTATACCATCTGTTACTGAAGGCCTTTCCTGGACTACTCCAGCCATGACACTAAGAAATACAATTTCAGAATTTAGCTAACCAATTCAAAATCATCCAATCAATAGACCAATGGACTATGAAGTAAATGTACCATGGAGTTCATAGCAGGCTCATTTTGAAATAATTTACTGAAAAGACAGGTGGAAAAGTTAACAACAAGCCATCTTGTTGTCCAATTAAAAGAGCCAGCTTTGACGACCTTAATTAATATTCCAGCTGAAGAGCCGTAACAACTGTCAAGCATTGGTAGTCACTTTATATAATAAGTTTGAAGGGTTTTACCAGAATGAAGTATCGTAAAACAAAGTTCCAAAAGAGGGTAAGGAGGAAAGAAGAGACCTTAGTTGCACTTTCAGAGAGCTTGAATAAGCTTGATCAGTTATCTTACCTGGATATTCCTCGTGAAATGATGGATTCGTTGGTACATGACCAATTTATAGAAGCCATAACAGACAATGGTAATGAGAATTAAGCTGAAGCAAAGTAACCGTACATTGTTAAATGAAGCTCTCCAGTTAACAATGGAAATTAAAACCATTAAAGTTCCAGATACACAACTGAAGGAAACATTTAGAAGTTATGGAATTATCAGATTCTGTAATAACATCAACTCCCCTCTCGATATTGTAGGAGAACTGAAAGAAATAATCAGACAGCTAATCAAACAGAACAAAGAATGTAAACCACAAGACGTTAGATGTTTCAAATATAAATTGAAGGGGCATATTGTCAGGAACTGCAGGCAAGGGCCTTTATGGAATAAGAAATCTTCTCAAAGGATAAAAGAAAGGGATAACTGTTATAATTGTGAGAAATGTGGCTATTAATGCTGAGACTGTAAGAAAGCAATGGGTGTTTTTAAGCCAAGAAGATAGAGCCCAAAGGAACAACACAGAGCTAATGATACATCAAGAAAACAGGAATTATGAAGCGTGGTACAACTGGAAATTTTCCATCTATTCAAAATGAGAAAAGAAGTTCATTATTTGAGGAAAATCGTCCACGAGTTCATGGGCTTATTGATGGAAAACCTTGCAGTGTGGTGACTAACACTGGTTCTACAGCTACAATTGTTCATCACAATTTGTTAATGAAAGATGGAAAATTGCCTCCACAGACTGAGAAAGAAAGGGAAATGATGTAAACAGCAGTTGAACATAAAGTTCCGGCAAAAGAGAAGTTAAAAGTTACCCATACTGTAAGATGCTTCTCTGTGCCTCATAATGAGTGGGTAATTTACACTGAAGAAAAGTGCATTTTGGGAACTTATTTCATGTGGAGACATGGACTTGAGTTCAGGCTAGCTTCAAATAGTTTCACAGTCTATATTACTAGGAAATCCTTATGCACTACATGGCAATTACAACAACAGGGGTTGAACTTCCAGTGGGAACAAGAATGGTGGTCATTGCACCTCCAATTAGTGAAATACACATACCAGAAGTTATTAGCAATAATTCTTCATCCAGTGAATGGATCATAGAGGAATCGAATACTCTGCCATGTCCTGAGGATATGGAAAAATTCTTAAAACAATTTGACGTCAAAGTTTCTAGAAATTCTCGGGGTAGATTATAAATACGAAGTTCGGTGAAGCATCGAAAAGAAGAAAGATATTTCTTGCCGGTAGAGTTTCTCAGCAAGTGTGTGAAGTATTTGGATTTGTGTTAGCTATCTCAGTTATTAGGTTACTTTATACAAGTAAGTTTATTTTTACGTCAGTGTGATATAGTTAACACGATTTGTAAATGTGGCCTGAAAGTTACCACAGTGTTTAAGCTTGTAAAAACATTAAAGGAGTAAACAAACTGCATTGTTATCGTTTATGTTGACTAGATTTTGAATTATTTTCTACAGAAAATATAAAAGAACCCGCAACAAGAGAACAACGCTAAAACAATATTATAAGATATAAATGACAAAAACCATCCGCTTTAAAATAAATAAATATTAGGGTACTTACTTGAACTAGACCATTGTTGGGTCTTGTTTCTTCAAAAAACGTGTGTCAAAAAGCACCCTAGTATTAAAAAATCAACATTGACTCTGCTGTTACTTTTGTTTGCGGGTTTTTTTTTAATTATTCGGTAAAAAATACAAGGTACAGACCATTTATTTCTAACGAAAATTATTTATTTCTTCGATAAAGTTCTACGAGCACAGATAGCCCATTTTTTCTTAACAACAAAGAAACCAAAACCTTTGCTAATAGACAAAACTAAATATTTCCAAAATTTTTAATATTAAATTTTGCCTCACAGGGACCATCAGTCATTTCACATTTCCAAAGTAAAGTTACGTATTAGTCGTGTTCTTGAACATCAAAATAGCTTCCTCCTACATTAAATGCAGCGAGGATTTTTCAAAGAATCTCTATCTGGCCTTGTGTCTGATAAGCAACAAGGTATTCAAAGATGTTAATAACAGCTAGAAGTGAAAAATGTTTGTTTGTTTGTTTTGAATTTCGCGCAAAGCTACACGAGAGCTATCTGCGCTAGCCGTCCCTAATTTAGCAGCGTAAGACTAGAGGGAAGGCAGCTAGTCATCACCACCCACCGCCAACTCTTGGGCTACTCTTTTACCCAATAGCTACTCAATAGTGGGATTTACCGTCACATTATAACGCCCCCACGGCTGAAAGGGTGAGCATGTTTGGTGGGACGGGGATTCGAACCCGCGAATCGAGATCCCTAACCACCTGACCATGCCGTTATATAAGAAGAAGAGCATTATAACTTTATGACAGCACATGTCATTTTTACAAGGACGTCAACTAATTACTTACATAACACCTACATGGAAATTTGTAAAAAAAATACATGAATATACCTAAATAAAGACTTATTCTTTATGATACCGGGTGGAGGCAAAACTGTTTTCATATGAGCGATCCCATTTTAACTATTTATGCATAATACTTTATATTAGCTGTTCGTAATGAAGCAAAAATTAATTACTCGTGTGTTCGGAAAAATTAGTTTGTCATGTAGAGGTTACTAGTTTACTCATGTAGCATTCTACAAATAAAATATCTTTATATAGCAATCAAACTGATATAAAGAGAAGACTAATTATTGACATAAAAAATCATAATTCATCTAAATAATCGGTTATTACATTTATGTTGTTGAGATTTTTAATAACGTTCTTTAGTGTGCTCAATAATATTTTCTTTGAGAAGTTTGTATAACCTGCAGACGAATTTTTTTAGTCTCATACACCAGAAATATATAAAAAACTATTAACTCATTAGAAAGCCTATCTATTTTACTGATCGATAAAATTTTCATTGAAGGGCGCCATTTTGATTGAAGATCAAAGCATGTAAAATTCACTCAATTGATATAGTCTATCACATCATCATCATAAATCAAAAATCATGTATGTAAACTTTTTATGTATTATCCTTATGGCTTTGTAAATAAGTTTTCATAATTGGTGGTTAGATTTCACGTGTTGTTAAGGTTTTTATCGAACGATAACAATTAAGTTGTTGTAGGTTCTTTGCGGTGGTTTAAAAATACATATATAATTTTCTAAAATATTTTTTACCACAGCTAAAATACGTTAACGTAAATGTTTCTTCTACTAGTCATGTATGTTTTTTAACATATTAATGGTCTTTTTAGCACAAGCCTGTTACGTAAATATTCTTTAAAAATTATTATAGTCACAAATTTTAATTTCTGGGAAGAAAGTGGTTTCAAAAACATCATCGCATAAAAATGTTCAGATATATTTAAAGAAAAACACTTTAAACATGAGTGTTCAGATATATTAAAAAAAAACACTTTAAGCCTAAGTGTTCTGATGTAAAAGAAAAAAAAAAACCTTAAGCCTGAGCTAAACATACAGTATACTAAACTTTTATGTTATCTATCTCCCATTGATTGGTTTGGTTTGTTTTGGAATTTCGTATGAAGCTACACAAGGGATATCTGCGTTAGCCGTCCCTAATTTAGCAGTGGGAAAGAAGATAGTCAACACCATCCACCGCCAACTCTTGGACTACTCTTTTACCAACGAATAGTGGAATTGACCGTCACATTATAACGCTCCCACTACTCGTATATTGCGGGTCGAACTCCCTAACTACCA